CCTCCCCCTCTTCTTCCTCACTCCCTTTTTCCTCCCTCTCACCCCCCCTTTTTCCTCACTCCCTTTTTCCTCCTTCTCCATTCCTTTTTCCTCACCCCCTTTTTCCTCCTGCTCAATCCCTTTTTCCTCCCTCGCACTCACTTTTTCCTCCTCCTCTTTTTCCTCCCCTTCCCCCCTTTTTCCTCACCCCCTTTTTCCTCACCCTTTATCCTCCCCCTCTCTCTCTTTTCCCTCCCTTTTCCGTCTCCCCTTTCTCCTCCCCCCTTTTCCCTCCCTCTCCCCCTTTTCCTTCCTCACCTCTTTTCCCTCCCTCTCCCCTTTTCCTTCCCCCTCCCCCTTTTTCCTCCCTCTCCCCCTTTTCCCTCTCCCCTTTTTCCCTCTCCCCCTTTTCCCTCTCCCCCTCTCCCTCCCACAGGGCGAAGCTGGTCCCACTGGAGCTCGAGGCCCTGAGGGTGCTCAGGGGCCGAGGGGTGAATCTGGCACTCCTGGCTCTCCCGGTCCTGCTGGAGCTCCTGTAAGTCCTGGATCCCTTCAGGAATTCCTTGGCCTCACTTTGTCCCCTTCTCTGGGAAAATCCCTGAGCGAGGGGAAGGGGCTGAAACCAAGGAAACTGAGGCACAGGGAGCAGGTCCAGGCTCAGTGGTGTTTCTTTCCAGGGTAACCCAGGGACGGATGGAATTCCTGGAGCGAAGGGCTCTGCGGTGAGTTGGGTGGGAATAGGGATGGGAATGGGGGGACAAAGCCTCTGGAAGGGATGGGAGAGAGATGGAAGAGGGATGGGAGAGGAATGGGAGAGAGACTGGAGAGGAATGGGAGAGAGATGGGAGAGGAGGAGGAGAGGGGTGGGAGAGAGATGGGAGAGAGAGGGGAGAGGGATAGGAGAATGAGAATGTTGGGGGTCACTGGGGAGATGCTGAGGGATGTGGGAGGCTCCAGAGGACCTGGGAATGTTGGGGGACACTGTGGGGACACTGGAGGCATGCTGAGGGGTATGGAGATACTGGGGGGATGCTGAGGGATATGGGGACACTGTGGGGATGTTGGGGTACACTGGGAGGATGCTGAGGGATGTGGGGATACTGGGGGGGACACTGGAGGGATGTGGGAGGCTCCAAAGGACCTGGAAATATTGAGGGGCACTGGAGAGATGCTGAGGGATGTTGGGGGCCACTGGGGGACACTGGGAGGATGTTGGGGGGCACAGGACATGCCCCTGTACAGTGTCCTGCTGCCCACAGGGTGCCCCAGGCATCGCTGGAGCTCCAGGATTCCCCGGACCCCGCGGACCCCCCGGTCCTCAGGGAGCCACTGGGCCCTTGGGACCCAAAGGACAGACGGTGAGAGACCCCCAGACCCCCAAGGGGCTGTGGCCACACTCCCATCCAGCCCAGCCTGGATGTTCCCTTCCCAAACACCCTCGGGTCACCCTTGGGACATTCTTGGGTCATTCCTTCCTGGCCTCAAAGAGGTCATTCAGGATGGGATGGGAATGGGAATGGGGACAGGGATGAGATGGTTTGGGGATGGGATGGGATAGGATGGGGTTGGGGATAGGGTGGAATTGGGATGGGGTTGGGGATGGGGACAGGGACAAAAATAGGATGGGATGGGATAGGGAATGGGGACAGGGATGGGATGAGATGGGATGGGGTTGGGGATGGGACAGGGATACAGGAGGGAGGGAGTGAAGGTGAGGACAAGACTGAGCTGGGGACAGGGATGGGAACAAAAAAGAAGCTGGACACAGGGCTGAACCCTGTGCCTAGAGAACAATCCAAGGCTGGGGACAGGGATAGGGGCATAGACACCTCATCCCTCTCTCCCTCTCCCTGTGCAGGGAGAACCTGGAATCGCAGGATTCAAAGGTGAACAGGGACCGAAGGGAGAGACGGTGAGGTGACATCCAGAGCCCCAGCCCAGCTGGGGATCCCTCCTTCCCTCCCTCCTTATCCCTCCCTCCCTCCCTCCTTATCCCTCCTTTCCCCCCTTTCCTCCCTCTTTTCCTCCTTCCTTTCTTCCCTTCCTATCCCTCCTTTCCTCCTTTCCTCCCTCTTTTCCCCCTCCCTCCCCCCTCCCTCAGGCCCCTGCCCGGGCCCCTGTTCCCGGTGGGTACAATAGCTGCAGTGTGTGTTGGCCCCGCGGGACATTCCCTGCGCATCACTGCCCGTGTGGAATGTGCTGCCGGGAGAGCAGGGGGAGCGACTGGGATCGGCCTCTGCGCCGAGCTGGGCCTTCCTGCACCCCTTTTTCTCCTCCCTGACACCCCTTCTTCTCTCTGAGACTCCTCTTCCTCCATGGCACCCCTGCTCCTCCTCCCTGCACCCCTTTTCCTCCATGTCACCTCTTTTTCTCCTTGTGATCCCTTTTCATCCCTGTAACTTCTTCCCCTCCTTGTGATCCTTTCCCTCCTTGTCACCCTTTTCCTCTCTGTAATTCCTTGTCCTCCTTGGCACCTTCCTCCCTGTAATTCCTTGTCCTCCTTGGCACCTCTTTTCCTCTTTGTGGCTCCTTTTCCCTCCTTTCCCTCCCTATGATCCCTTTCCCTCCCTGTGATCCCTTTCCCTCCTTTCCTTCCCTGTGATCCCTTTCCTCCCTGTGACTCCTTTCCCTCCTTTCTCTCTTTTTCCTCCCTTTCCCTCTTTTCCCTCCCCATGACCTTTTCCCTCCCTCCTCTCCCCAGGGCCCTGCAGGACCCCAAGGTGCCCCTGGCCCTGCTGGTGAGGAAGGCAAGAGAGGAGCTCGTGGAGAACCTGGTGCTGCTGGTCCTCTAGGACCTCCTGGCGAGAGGGTGTGTGTGTGTGTCCCCAAACTCCTCCAACCATGAGCTGCTTCCCAAAATCCTTCTCCTCACCTTCACTCTCCTTCACAGGGTGCTCCAGGCAATCGTGGTTTCCCCGGGCAGGATGGACTGGCTGGACCCAAGGTGGGACATCAGGATCATGGAGGAGAAGGAGGAGAATCCAAGGAGGGAGTTCCTACTCCTTGAATCTCCAAATTCATCCCTTTTCTCTCCCTCTTTTCTCCTCTTCCTCACAGGGTGCTCCAGGTGAACGTGGTCCTGCTGGTCTTGCTGGTCCCAAAGGAGCCACTGGTGATCCAGGACGTCCTGGAGAACCTGGACTACCTGGAGCAAGGGTGAGAGGTTGGGGGGGGGTCCAATCCTGTACCCCCCACTGGTGGATCTGGGGAGGGATCAACCAGGGCAGGATCCTGTGAGGAGAGTGGGGATGGTGGTGGGACCAGTTGGGCTCAGTAAGGAGGCCTCAGGTGGTTTGGGGGAAAATCAGATGGTTTTGGGGGGCAACCAGGTGAGTTTTGGGGGCAACCAGGTGATTTGGGGGAGCAATCAGGTGGTTTTGGTGGTCACCAAGGTGTGTTTGGGGTTATCAAGATGCATTTGAGGTCATCAAGGTGCGTTTGGGGTCACCAAGGTGCATTTGGGGTCATCAAGGTGTACCTGGCGTGACCAAGTTGAAGATGCATTTGGATCTCTCCAAGATGCTCCTTGGGCTTAGATGCTCCTTGGGGTGGGTGAAGATACTCCCTGGGGTTAACCCCATACTCATGTACCCACCACATGAGTGATGTCCATCAGACCTAGACCTGACAGCTCCTCCCTCCCTTCTCTCCACCACAGGGTCTGACTGGACGTCCAGGAGATGCTGGTCCTCAAGGCAAAGTTGGCCCAACTGTAAGAGATGCTCCTCAGGGCGGTGAGGGACAAGGTCTGGAGGGATCTCTGCTGACCTCCTCTTCCTCCCCACAGGGTGCTCCTGGTGAGGATGGTCGTCCTGGCCCTCCTGGACCTCAAGGTGCTCGTGGTCAGCCTGGTGTGATGGGTTTCCCTGGTCCCAAAGGTGCTAATGTGAGTGGTGTTGACCTGTTTCTCCTTCAAATGACCTTCAGCCTAGACATGGAGCTCATCACTGTCCTCTCTCTAGGGTGAACCTGGCAAAGCTGGGGAGAAAGGTCTCCCTGGAGCTCCAGGACTTAGGGTGAGTTGTTTTCCTGCTCTCATCACCCCCAAAACCACATCTTGGTGTCTCATCCCCTTGAGGTGTCTCCAGTCTCCAAGTTGGGGAGCTCAGTGAGGATTTTTCTCTCCTCCATAGGGACTTCCTGGCAAGGATGGGGAGACAGGAGCTGCTGGACCACCAGGACCTGCTGTGAGTGTTGTAGTTCAGGCTTGAAATGGAGAAGGCTGGGGGGGAAAAAACCACCCTGAGTCTGCTGGATGTGGAACCTCTGCAGTCCCTAACCCTCATGGTGCTTGGGCTTGTGGAGTTTGGGCTCTTTTGCCCAAATCTTGAGGTGGGTGAAGCCTGAACTTCACCAGGTTTTATTTGAGAGTCTTCACCACTTTCCTTCCCACAGGGTCCTGCAGGTGAGAGAGGAGAGCAAGGGGCTCCTGGTCCTTCTGGCTTCCAGGTGAGCAGGTGAAAGAGGTTTTTGGGGATGAGGTGATGCTCATGGGTGACCTCAAGGTCTTGTCCTTGTGGATCTTGTTATCACCATGCTCACAGCACTGCTCTCCCCTCCTAGGGTCTACCAGGGCCACCAGGTCCTCCTGGAGAGAGTGGCAAACCTGGAGATCAGGTGAGACCTCCTTTTCCCTCTTCTCAGGCTGTCCAAGGGGGGTCAGGACCCCTCAGCATCTCCCAGCTCTGACCCCCAACTCTTCTTCCTCCTGCCACAGGGTGTTCCTGGAGAAGCTGGTGCTCCTGGTCTTGTTGGTCCCAGAGTAAGTCCCACCCATTCTCCTGGCTTGGGTCCACTCAATCCATCCCATGGAGGATTGGGCACTCCATCCATCCCATGGAGGGGTTTGGGGGAGCTCCAGGGGGTTGGTAGAGCCTGGTTTCCCCCACTTAGGGCAGATGTCCCAGTTCTAGTGGCTCAATATCTTCTACAGCCCATCCCAGTCCATCCCAGTCCTACTGGGGTAGTGGGAGATGATTCCCTTCCCACTATCCTTGAGGACATCCATGCAAAGGCCGTTGTGACCTCCACCATGTCCCTGTGGCCTCATCCAGGGCAGCTGTCCCAGTTCTGGTGGAGTAATCTCTTCTATAGCCCATCCCAGTCCATCCCAGTCCATCCCAGTCCATCCCAGTCCATCCCAGTCCATCCCAGTCCATCCCAGTCCATCCCAGTCCATCCCAGTCCATCCCAGTCCATCCCAGTCCATCCCAGTCCATCCCAGTCCATCCCAGTCCATCCCAGTCCATCCCAGTCCATCCCAGTCCATCCCAGTCCCACTGGGGCAATGTCCTTCCCACCATCCTTGGGGACATCCATGCAAGGCCATTGTGACCTCCACCATGGCCCTGTGGCCTCATCCTAACTCTCCTCCATCCCTTCCCAGGGGGAACGTGGCTTTCCTGGTGAACGTGGCTCTCCTGGAGCCCAAGGGTTGCAGGGACCTCGTGGCCTCCCTGGCACCCCTGGCACTGATGGACCCAAGGTGGGTGACCAGAGGGGTCAGAGCTCTGAAGTGTCACCAGCAAAGTTGTGACACCAGTGGTCAGTGCATGGAAAAGTTTGGCACCCCCAAAAACACTTCACTTTTGCTCTAGGGTGCAACTGGCCCAGCTGGTCCCAATGGAGCCCAAGGTCCTCCTGGTCTTCAGGGAATGCCTGGAGAGAGAGGAGCAGCTGGAATTGCTGGTCCCAAGGGAGACAGGGTGAGTGGTGGGTGCTGGAGGTGGCAGGAGTGGTGTCAGGTCTCAGCTCTGCTCATGCTGCTCCTGTCTCACCCTGCAGGGAGATGTGGGAGAGAAAGGTCCTGAGGGAGCTCCTGGAAAGGATGGTGCAAGGGTAAGTGGGATGGGAATGGGATGGGAGTGGGGAGGCCACTGGGGATAGTCATGGTGGCCTCATCCTTGTCCCTCTGTCTTCCACAGGGGCTGACAGGTCCCATCGGTCCCCCAGGCCCTGCTGGTCCCAACGGTGAGAAGGTGAGAGCCTGGGCAGCTCCTCGGCTCCCACCCAAGGAGAACCTTCCCATCCCCTCCCAAATCCACATCCTTCCTTCTCCAGGGTGAATCTGGACCTCCTGGTCAGATCCTTCCCATCCTCTCCTGGTCAGGTCCTTCCCATCTCCTCCCACCTCTCTATCCTTCCTTCTCCAAGGTGAATCTGGACCTCCTGGGCAGGTCCTTCCCATCCCCTCCCAAATCCACATCCTTCCTTCTCCAGGGTGAATCTGGACCTCCTGGTCAGATCCTTCCCATCCTCTCCTGGTCAGGTCCTTCCCATCTCCTCCCACCTCTCTATCCTTCCTTCTCCAAGGTGAATCTGGACCTCCTGGGCAGGTCCTTCCCATCCCCTCCCAAATCCACATCCTTCCTTCTCCAGGATGAATCTGACCCTCCTGGTCAGGTTCCTCCCATCTCCTCCCACCTCTCCATCCTTCCTTCTCCAGGATGAATCTGACCAGGAGGGTCAGATCCTTAAGAACTCCTCCCAACTCTCCCTCCTTCCTTTTCCAGGGTGAATCTGGCCCTCCTGGTCCCTCTGGAGCTGCTGGTGCCCGTGGTGCCCCTGTAAGTGCCAAGCTCTTTCTCCCCATGCCTTCTCTCCATCTCTGCCCATCCCTTCTCTCCCTCTCTCCCCATCCCATTGTTCCCTCTCTCTCTGACCTCCCTCCCTGTCTCTTAGGGTGAGCGAGGAGAGCCTGGAGCTCCTGGTCCTGCTGGATTTGCTGGTCCCCCGGTGAGTCCTTGGCTCCATCTCCCCTGGCCAGTTCTGGCCTCTCCCCATGAGCCCTGACACAGACTCTTCCCACAGGGAGCCGATGGCCAACCTGGAGCCAAGGGAGAGCAGGGTGAGCCTGGGCAGAAAGGTGATGCAGGTGCTCCTGGGCCTCAGGGTCCTTCTGGTGCTCCTGGGCCACAGGTGGGTACAGCCCAGGGCACCTCGAACCTGGGAGAGAACCTTCCTCCCCATCCCTTCCCATCTCTTCCCTCCCTCCATCCCCTCACTCCTCATCCCTTCCATCACTCCCCATCCCTTCCATCCCTCCCTCCATCCCCTCACTCCCTCCATCCCCTCCCTCCATCCCTCCCCATC